TGCCTATGTTATTGTTTATATTATTTATTATGCCTATTATTTTTAGCATAAAAAATTATATTTCTTGTCATATTTTATTATTTTTTCACGAATTATTAATTATAAATTGGAGCGTATTATTGATAATTATATTTCACGTAATTTCAAATTGTTTGTAACGAGCGGTATTTATAAAAATTAACGGCGATTATTAGCTTAATTAATTTTATATATATTTTTGCATAGTTTTTTTTAATATTTTTTAACCATGTTATTTAATTACTTATCATTTATTTCATTATTTATAATATTATTAATAAGAATTAGAATTTATTTCAATTAAAAATACAGTTAATTATATAATTTCTACAGTCTAAAGACTAAAACTCGTAGAAAGATTTAATCCAGGTTTGAACAAAGTCGAAGTGTTGAGATATTATTTTATTTATTAATAATATGAAAAGACTCTAGATTATGTACAGTGTAGGAAAACAAAATGGCTCAGTAATTGAAGATGCACAGCTTCTACTTTAGAGTGTATCATCAATTCGGGGAATTCGAGAAGACAAATGAAAAGAGAAGGCTAATTTTGATAAAACAAGCATTGCTAAAATAAAATATCGTTCACATGTTCTTCATTTCAATTGTTCTCCATTCTGCATTAAATAATAGTGTGTCTTTGTCAATAACTCTATTTTTTACTTCTTTTATTTACTTTGTTTCCCATTTAATTATTTTTCTTCCTTATTTCAATTAGGTTTATTATTTTAATGTATTTTATTTGTAGCTTTTAGACTCCGCTCTATCTCTTTCTTTGACAAATTAAATAATAGATGTTGCTTTTGAAAAGTTACCTTTTGTTTTAGTTTCTCCCCTCTTTCTTTTATAAACTTTTCAATAATTACTTTTAAATCATTTCTTCTGTGTTACTTTTGTATTAATTCTATTTTAAATTTTTCATTTCTGTATGCACTTTATATCGATGCATTAGTTTATTGATTCACCAACATCCTACAAATCTGCTAAACACAAACAATGCGAACAAACTGGAACGGCGAATGCAGGAAGCTCTATTTTTGTAGAGCAGCAGTAAATATTCTTGTACGCCTGTCTCTTTATATGTTAAGTTTAAGTGCCACTAAGTATGTGCATGTAAGTCTGTGTGCGTGTGTGTGTGTGTGAGTTGTTGTTGTTGCTTGTTTTGGTAGTATGTGCGGTAGGTGTTGGGTTTTATTTTTGGAATAAACATTAACAACAACAGCAATGAAACACACTCAAGAAAACTAGAAAACGAAACGCGACAAGAAAAACCAGTTTGTTCTCTAGAACATGTTGCATGCTAGAAGAGATCTCCCCTCGGCTATCCACCGCCACAACCACCGCCACCGCTCGCTTACAATGTGGAGCAGAGCAACAACAACAACAACAGCAACAAATACTGCTGCTGGGCGGTTTTTATTCTCTGGGCCAACCACAGGGGAGCACCTTGCAAAACAGCCCAAGCACGAGGCTATTTAAAGGTTTTTTTTACATACACTTTACAGTCACACACACTTAGGTCTTTACTATATATTTGTAGGTATGTATGTGTATATATATGCATGCGAGTGTGTTTGTAGGTGGTGGAGAGAACTGACTGTCAGGAAGTCCAAATATGTAATGTTGTCGTTCTAGAGTTGTTGAGCCAGGCACGAGCCTTTCTGGCAACAACAATTGCTGTTGTTATGACTGCTTCTGCTTCTTCTTCCTCTTCTCATTGTTGTTGACATGCTATTGAACGCTTTCAAGGATACCAATCGTCCCTAACTAGAAATGTTGTCAACAATATTGATGCAGGCTATTTTAATACTTAATAGCTGTGTTACAGTAATATTTCTAAAACAAATCTCTTTTGAAATAAAAACCATGTCAGAAATTTGCAATCAAATCTATAAATAGACCTAATACTCTATTCGAAAATCATTTGCTGTGTTTTAAATTGATAGCAACTGATATCTGTATTTAAGAAGGCTATACAATTTGATAGCTTTATTACAAATATATTAAAAAAACGAAGCTCCTTTGAACAGCAATAGATACGAAGTGAAATGAAACAACGTCAGATGTATATGCGTCAGAAATAAGCTTCAAATTTTGCGATGTGATCAATAGATTTGAATATCCAAATCCTATAAAACAATATAATTTTCGACAGCTTTGATCAGAGCGTAAAATGAGGAGATATGTCAGATTTTCGAGACGATAAAAAGTTTTTACATTTGGTTTCTATTACAGTTTTGTAAAGGTTCCACAAGAAATATGTAATAATTTCAGCAGATCGTCAAGAAAACGGCACATATGGATAACTCGATAGAGAAATATCAAGTCTGTCATAGTAATAGAAATACAAATAATGTATTTTATGCGTTACAAACGTGTTATTATAACAAATAAACCCATGCTGAGGGTGAAATATACGAGTAAGAAACTGCTCATGCCTAGAAGTGTTGATCGATATGCGTGTCATTCCAATCAAATGGCCTTAAATGAAATCAAAGTGCGTTGGCTGGCGTCTGTCTCTCGAAGGCAATTGAACGACGAAAAGCGTTGAATTTGAATCGGGCTTGCACTCTACGGCAATGGCGGAAACATTTGGTCCGAGTAAGACGTGATATCTGGCACTTATGAGCAAAAACAATAGACCGAAGCGCCATAATAAAACACTAAACTGGAACATAAAAATGCTACAAATATTTAACTCAGCAGTCCGAGATGTGTCTGTCGGTCTGTTTGTGTATTATGTGATAACAAAATAAACTCACGATAAGAAAAGAGGCATTTGTTTCCATTTCCGAATAGTTTTGTTCAAGAATTGTGTTATGTGATAACACAATGAAAAACATACACACATAAGATAAGCAGCAGAGCGATTTATATTTATTAATGAAAATTAGAAAATATACAATATATAATACAATTTCGATAGAACATCATTTCATAAAATAGAGAATAAGCAACGAGCCTATTAGAGCAAGATTAGAACGTTTATAAGGGTGGTATTAAATTAAAAAACTTCTTGTAAAAAGTAATAAATATTCAAAGTTGAGTCATAATTGTAGATCTTAAAGGGATTTTAATTCTTTGTAATACATTTCCATATAAGTTTATTATACAGATTTTAAATTGCAAGTCCAATACAACGAAAAAGTTTAATGAATAAATATATATGTTTATGTTGTATAGTTTATAAGTTTTTTAAACAAAATCAAACAAACCTATTGTACTTCAAAGTTATACTTTTGAAATTGGGCTTGAAAGCCAAAGAAACATAGCTTCACTAACAATCAAAATTGCAAGTTAGTTATTAATTAGTAACTAATGTTTAACGCATTGTTGCTGCGCTTTAAAATACAAAATATAAACAGACATTCCTTTATATATTTAATACTATTTAACATCGCATTAAGCAACAAAGTAATGCAATGTGCTGTAAACAAACAAAGTCTGTGCAACAGCGCAATTATAAGTAGTATGCCAATGTCAAGAGCCCCCCTCAACCCTCAACCCCCAACCAAGCGGGGGCGTCAAAACTTAAGAACTTTGTTATGCAAAAAGCGTGCCACACTCGCAGTTGCAGTCGCAGCAACAGAAAGAGCAACAGCAACAGCAGCTTCAAATGTCAACTGAGAACGCCCACAAAGAAACAAACAAACACACATACACATTTATTTGTTATTGTTTTGCAGCATTTGTTGAACACATACACACACACACACACGCAGACACAGGCGCTGAGGCAGAGACACAACAGTGCTGTGAAGCCAGCTAAGCCAGCAATTGAAAGAAGCTAGAAATAGCTGAACAAAATATACACACAATACAGAAACTCTGTTTTGTAACATAAAAATAGCAGAGCTTTAATTTTTTTTATTAGCATAAAACAAGGCTGTTTAAATAGCTATACTTAAAGATTTTTAAGCTTAATTGATACAACAACATACATTTTATTCTACTCTTTATATGCCTATGTCGACAGTCAATGTTTGTTGACGTAAATAAATAAAAAAAATAAATACATATTTTCAAATGCATAAACAAAAATACACAACAGCTAAAAAGAAACTAAGCTTTAAAAATAAACGGAATTTCAATTGCTGTTTCATATGTGTAAATATGTTTTAAAACGTTTAATTTATATTTGAAGGACTTTCAACTCATTTTTCGAGCATCCCACATATTACAAAGTAGTTATATACATATTACCATATGAAATGTTGAAGGAATATCTTTACAAACAAAAAAGGGAGTTGAAAGATATCATTCCATTGACTGCTAGATTATTTATTATTTATTCCACAATAAAGGGTTATATTTAAGGCAATCAATGGTTATAAACAAATAATTATATACTTGTATACCCGAATACATAGGTATGTAGTATTTATATACAAAGTTGAAGTAATGCCCCTTCAGATAATCATTGTTATCTATCGGTTAGCCAAATAAATACATGATGTTGGTTGATATTTTCCCTCTTGCTGAGGGATGGGCATAGGGACTATCACATACTTGTATGTGAAAGGTTACTCCAACCATTGCACTTAAATTTGGTAGCTTTATCTTAATCGGACTTAGGAGAACGTTTATGACATCTTTAAAGATTCTAGTGCTGATATTTTCTGAGTGTTTCTAGTGTTCATACAGACGATCACAATATTACTCTTTTCCATTTCAACTCAAATGTCCTTTTTGGTGTTTTGGCTGGCAAGGGATAAGAATTTGAGAACTGGCGGAAAAAGTAGCTGAATCGGCAACTCTGGTGGACATGCGCGTGCAGAACTCTTGGATGTGTGCGTGCGCTTTGCTGCCGTGTGTCCGTGTGTGTGTAGAATTTTATTGATTAGTCACAAGGCTGCCTACCGCTTCGCACAGCAGCTGAGCGCGCTGTGATTTGTTGTTGCTGTTGTTGTTGTTTTTTTTTTGTAAATCGAAAATCAGCCAACACCCACACACCCAAAATTTGGGCTTCATGGTACACTCACCTTCAATTGAGCCAAATTGTTGTCGCGGGCAGCATTAAATACAATGAATTTGCAATCCATTTTCTGTGTATTTGCTGCTGTCGTCGTTGTTGTTGTTGTTGTTGTTGTCGACGTTTGCATATAACAAAAACAACAAGCACCCTCGTCTCAAATCTCAATCTCACACTAAATTACAATTCCAAGCCAAAAGCCAAGAAGTTTTCTTTTTTTTACAAAATTTGCTGCTTGCCGTCGTCTTCTTCTTCTTCTTTGCTATTTTTGTTGTTGTTGTGTAGCGCGCCACAGCGCGTGCGAGTGAGTGAGAGAGAGTGGCAGAGAGATTCTTTGCTGTTGCTGTTGTTTTTGCTGCCTCCGCTGTCTTTTCGTTCCGACGAATTTGTATTTTACAAAAATAATTTTCCTCGTTTGTTTTTTCCGCTTTTCTCACTAGCAGCAAACAAAGAACTTTTTCTTTTATTTATTTGAACCAATATTGGTAATACAACCGCACTGGCCTGTTTTTGCAGGCCTTGCTTCCGTATTTTGTTGCAATTTTTGCGACGAGCCAAAAGCAGGAAGACAATTTTTTTTTTCTTTGTATTCTTTTTTGCGTTGTCGGTTTTCTCTTTTTTGTGGCACGAGCGCGTTGGAAATTTGTGGGTGTAAATATTATGAATTGGGTTGATAATTTTCTTGTTTATTTGTTACTACTCTCAGCACAGAGCATTTAACCACAAGAGCTTCAACTTATTTCCTTAATAATTTCTGCGATTATCTCATTAGAAACAGCCGCGCACTAGCACCGCGCGCACAAACACCGAAAAACGACTGAAATCAGAAGGTAGTAGAGATGGTGGCATATCGCCAATCCATAACGGTTACTTTATCCCCGCTACGAAACACAGTCACGACTCACACTAACTGTTAGCAAGTCACTGTTAATTTTAAATAAATATGTGTGAACACTAATCGTGCAAGCAGCGCATTTGAAAACAGAATCTTCTTTAACATGTGATTGTGTTAATTGCAATGTGTGTGTTAAATATAAAAACAAATGCAAAAGAAATGTCTAGCGTATTGTTAAATAAAAATAAGAATATTTAAGCATTGTTTGTCATTGTATGCTGTCAATAATTACAACAATTACCATTTACTGTCGCAGTAACAACAGCTGTCTGTCGTGAAAAAATACCGCACTTAGCTGCAGTCTAAGCGATGTGGTCACACTAGTCAGCTGTTTCAGTTCACCTCGACCTGCTTTCCCGTGGTGAGATTTAGATTTAAAATTGTATTACAAATGAACATTTTCCAGTTTTCAGTTGAATTATGATTAAGTTTGAATGTTGTTGCATAGGTCGATGAAATTCCAGGCCATTTGTAGCGCTGGAAGTTCCTAATGGTTTGGCATTCATGAAAACAAGACTTTTGGTTTATTTGATGTATTTTGAAAACAGTTTTATTTGTTTTGAATTTTTTGTATGCCGTACATAAACAGTTATATGTTTTACATTGTACATTTTGTTATAATACGATTACTTAATGAGTACTAGATGCGTAGGTATCGTTATGTTTAGTTATACTCGTACATGTTTTATTGGATATTATTCGCATACACACAGCTATATACTCGTGTGCGTGGGTATGAAATATTCAATTAGTTGTTAATAACACTAATCATATTTTTTGATTTTCTTTTTTTTATTTTTTTGATCTATTTGGTTAAATATTTAATTACAATTGCATTAATAATTAAACAATAATATTTACTGTGCTTGTGGTTGGCTTTTTAAAGCTAAAAACTTAGTTGCTTGCGCTGTTCTACAAAAATTGACATCAACAAATTAAATAGACTCAACAAATTAGCTTTAAATGACACATATTTTGAAGTAGTTGTGCGATTTTGTTAACCAAATATGTGGGGAGAGTGGGAATCGTTAGAACTCAAGCAAATAAACAATTTGCTACTTTATTTAATTACCTTTTTATATCACAAGTTAAAATTTTGATTATTGTTTGGTCAATGTTTTATGTTATTAATTATACATATACATATATATATATATATAATTTTATTGTGTATCTTTGTAATATGGTATAGAAATATGTACATAAGAAAATATACGAATATCGTAATTAAATATGTAATTAATTATAATAAAGATATAGATATTTGATTTGAGTTCTCATTTGTTTTGTCATATAAATTGGTCTATATAGTCAAGTCATGGTGTTACAATATGTATGTAGGTTTGAGGATATTTACCACTAAAGTGAGTGCAAAAGGTCGTGGCGCCCAACGTGGGGCCCACTAAGTGGTTTAGGGGGAGGAAGATAGTTGGAAATTCGAGTTAGTTGCATGCGATTAAGTGATAAAATCGATATTAAAGTTGCATATATATATATATAGTATGTATGTATATTGTGTTAAATTTTTAGAAAAAGTCGAGTTAATTTCTTTTACGTATGTTAGCCTACAATCAGACAACAGACTCTTTGAAGTTGCTGTTCACCTGTAAAATAGTTACAGAGCCTTGTAAATATGTATGTAAGTGTATATTTTAGTTGATATATATGTATGTTGCAGGATTATATATTATTACTATAAATCGTATATATGTGACTACTACACATGCATAGTTACTCGTAAGAGTTGACAGAGGGGGAGCAGAGTTGAGCGATATGTAGGTTGCCTTTTATAATTCGAGAAAAAGAAGAAAACAGCTTTAAGACCCTACTAGGAAAGGCTTGACGAAAGAATTAAATGAGCTGAGAATAAACTGTTATATAAAAGCTATTTAGCAACCTTAAAATACTCCTCAAAGAGGGGTTGAGACAAGGAACCGCTAAAACGGTTCAAGTCGTAGGAAGTCGTTCCCTTTTGTTAAGCCCTGCTGATTTTCAAATTGGAGAAGCATTTCATGAAATCATAGATATGTGCGGTACTAGATGATGCTTCCCGGTGGAGCGATTAAGGACTGGATATAAAAGTAGCGGAAATAGCTTTAAGGGGACTGCAGCATTTAGTATACCCGGACAACAGCTAAGTAGCTAGGTAGCTGTGGTTCCTTGTTTTACCCCCTTTCTTTTTGTTCCCCTTGCTCATTTTCAGAAACCAAAGACTTCCTTTAATTCGAGGTCAACGTTTTTTGATGCCCTCAGAAACCGTTGGAGCTTTTGAAAAGCTAGTTATGGAGATGCGACCTCCTGAAAAAAGTTATTCGAAAATAAATTCAATAAGAACGTATTTTTGTTCTCTTTTCCCGTAGCATAGAAGGCAACCCTCGTATAAAAGATTGAGAGATAGAGTGCGATATGTTGGGGTTTGAAGATAGTTAGTTTCGTAATTGGGTATCTTAGGGCGAAAAGACACGCAGACTGCGCAAAAGCGTTGCCAGGACATTGGCCAGACACTCGGCCTGTAGGGCCAACTGGCCGGCGCCCAAGGGTCCCATCTGTACGCCCACCAGCTCTCGGAAGCTGGAGGCTACATCGTGCACCTTCAGCACAATGTTGCGGGTCTGCAGCGGCGCTGATGTGTGACGCGTCATATCTTGCGTCAGCTCGGTGATGCGCCGGATGGCCGTCAGACAGGAGGTGAGGTGTTCGGGCAACGTCAACAGCGTCATATCAGACATGGCGGCGACTAGAAACTTGGAAGCCGTCACTAAAGCCAAAGTTTGTTCGGTCAGTTCGTTGCGGGCGCGCTGAAATTTCTCCTCATCGATGCTGGCACCACCGCCGGCTGCCTGGGCCGCCGAACACTGCGCCGCCACCTGGTCGAGCTTGATGAGTAACCCGGCCATGGCGACATCTGTCTTGGCCAGCAGCGCCTCGCCGTCAATGATATGACCATTCTTTATGATTAGCTTCTCGCCGTAAAGCTGCTGTGGCTTCTTTGGTATAAGCGGTGGCGTGGCTGGCGATGGTGCGAGCGGTTTTCGCGACATTTGTGGTGAACAGAGCAGCGTTAGCTGCGGCCCGCCATTGGAATGCGTGGTGCTGGGTTGCTGGACAACGCGTGCTGTTGCCGGTATGGGTGGATTGGGTTGTTGTGGCTGTGCCTTGTTCAGGTTGCCATTCAGGCTGCCATTCACATTCACAATACGTTGGAGTGTCGGACGATTGGCAATGGGTGGCAGCGGGGGTTTTCGGGGCGGCTGGTTAGCGACAGCACTCACCGACATTTGTTCCGTTGTTGCCGTCGTTGCGGTCGCGGTGGGGCTGACGCGTGGCGGCAATTGTGGCGGACACACCTCGCGGGCGCCACCGCCCCCACCGGATGAGAAGAGCGGCGGCAGGGGGGTGTGTATGGTGGCACCTATGCGCACTTGCTTCTTCGGTGAGTAACGCTGCATCAGTTCGGCGCTCTTTGGCGGTCGGGCCGGTGGCGCAGGCGCCTGCTCTGCAGTGGCTGTGCGTGGTGGAAGCTTGAGGTCGCTCTCTACCGCTGCCACATCGTTCAGCTCGTCCTTCTTCGACTTGGGACAGCAGGAAAACTTACTCTTACGCTCCACAGTGGCGTACTCAATCACGTGCGAGTTGTTGCTGCTCGCACTATTGCCATTGCCATTACAGCGAGCTAAAGGTTGGAAGCTGGTCAGGCTGTTGCTGTTAGTGGACTGGAAAAAGGCGCGTTTGGCCTGCACTGAGTTGCTGTACAACGATTCTGTTTGCGCTGCGTAGCCATCATCGCTGGGGAGGCGTTGCTGTGTGTCCTCTAGGTTTGGTGGCGGCGGTATTATGAAGGACATTATCTCCTCGGGTGTCAGTTCCTTGGCGGGTGTGGCTTTTTGGGTGGGTGGCGCCACCACCACCTTCTCGAGAAAGCTGTCCAAATCGACGCCACCCTCGAAACCCTTTGGCGGTGCCGCATTCAGCAGCGATAGCGAGTCCAGCTCATCGGGCGTTTGTGGCGGCGGTATGGCACGCAAATCAATCAGATCTGTGTCCGTCTCAATGAATGTGTCTTCGCGTATCTCAAAGCCATAGATTTCGGATAACTTCTTGGCGGCCACATCCGTATCGGCCGCCTCCACATTGCTTATTTCCTTCAATTGCTTCAGATACTCCTTCAAATTGTAGTCCTTGGTCTCGTTGCCAAAGTTAGTGCCATCGGGACTGTGTAGCCCAAAGCTGCTGCGATACGCCAAGTTCTGTTTGGCCCCTGTGGCCAATAGCTGGGGGCGACGTGTGGTCGGCGATTGTGTAGGCGAAGCCACAGACTCGGAATCGCTTTCGCTCTGCGAGTAATCGGTGCCCAGCGCTTGCAAATCGCTCAATAGCTGACTGAATCCGTTCAGCTTGCGTTGCGGTCGCGGACTGGAGGTGCTGCACAGGCTAGGCTTGCGTTTGGGTGTGGCTGGCGCCCCAGTCGGTGGGGTGCCTGTTCCTGTTTCCTGCTGGCCTCCTATGGAGCTAAGACCCTGCGCTATGCCACTCAGATCGTGACTAATAGTCTCCGCCAGCAGTGTTAATGAGTCGCTGTGCTTCATAGGACCGATGCCACTGCCAGATGGAGTTGCCTCCTCGGTGGAAGAGACCTTGCTGCTGTTCAAACTATCGCAATCGCTGTCAAATTCGAGCACACCCATGGCACCGCTGCTGGAGAGTGCAGCCCCTCCACCCCCTTTGGCCATGTATCCAGCATTTCCGTTGCGTCGTTGTGCCGTCTCGTAGTCCTCGCCCTGCTCGGCCAGCAGATATTGCTCCGAGCTCTGAACCAGTTGCTGCATTTCGTGTACACGTCGCAAAACCTGCTCGTTTTTGGCCTCAATATAGGCACCGCCCGCTCCAGTACGCTCGCAATAGTTGCTGCCGCTGCTATCGCTCAGACCCGAATCCTTAGCCTCCTCCAACAGCTCCGTGGCCATAACGCTGTGTATGTCCAAATCCATGGCCGTAGAGCTCATATAAGGCAGCTGCTGTTGTTGCTGCTGCTGCTGCTGTTGTGCCTCGACCTGCGATAAAATTGCGTTTTGCGGCATGGGATGATATGGCGGTGCCATCAAAAAGTTAACGCTATGCGCGCGGGTGTGGAATGGCAGCAAATAGCTCCAACCAGCAGGCAGCACAGTATGCTGCGCCAGGAACGACGGGGCATTGTCCTCGTCGTAGGGCTCGCGTTCACGCACAATCGTCAGCAAATTGCCTAAAATCGTATAGAGACCTAATGATCGAAGTACAAACATCAAAGAAAATATGGAAGACTTACCCGTTAGGAGACGATAGTAACCGCCCAGCACGAGACTAAACTCGCAGGCATCGCGATCCTCCATGATGAACTTCACCGCCCGCTCTCCCAGCATGAAAATCGAAACACTGCACGTCACATCATCCTCGCGATTTACAATCACGTGCGTAAAGTCTTCAATGGCCGATATGGGCTGTGGCTGGCCGAAATTTTTGGACTATCATAAGCGGAATATTGCCTTTCCATTTTCACTTTACTACTTACCACCGAATTGCGAGCGCTGGATATCTGACTGAGGCCAAAGCGTGGACTGATTAGCAACACACGCTCCACACCCTCTCTTTGGTTTGTGCTGAAACATTTGGCGCCGTAGCTTGGTAAATTAGCGATTATATCTAAATAGTGTAGCTTGGCCTGTAAATGACATCAAAAGCAGTTTAATGATGTGGAGGTCTACTATGTACTATATATTGTCTACACTTGCCTGCAACTGTGTCAGAACCTTGCTAGACGAGCCGGTCATCTCGGCATTGAGCTTCAAGAAGTGTGATATGAGTCGTCGCAGCTCTTTGCGTTTCATGCCCTCGCACAGACTGACGGGCACAAAACGCTCCAATCCAAATTCACGTCTAGAACAGGACATAAATAGGTTAGTAAGCGGGAACTGGAAAGTTCTCAGCAAAAGGCGAAACCTACTCAACCACTTTGACGGTCAGCTTGGCAGGGGAAAAGTTGTTGGCCAATGCATGCTGATGCATATGGAGAGCGGCCAAACGTAGGGCCACCTCCGGCTGTAGTTCGGGTGCAAAGCGCTCCTGGTTGACATCATTGCAGCACTGCATATACAAATAGTCGAGCGCATTCAGATCCTTCTGAGCCAATTCCGCGGCCGAAATGGGCACAAAGGTGATGCGAAAGAGACAGCGCAGCTTATGAGCTCCCGGACGCGCGGCAACCTGTGAAGAGAAGTTGTTTTAGGAATTCTGCTATGAATATTAAATGAAGTCTTACGCGCGCCAACGATTCTTCAGGATCGAGCAACGTCAGCTTATTGCGTTTGAGGCTCTTCACATGCTCCAGCACAAGACTGAAGAGCTCGCCGCAGCACAGACAAAGCTTGTCGAGCAGGGAGCTAACCACATCCTGTACTGTTGTGGTCGCATCGTACTTAAACGATTTCGTCTGCCCGTTCTCCAGAAAGACTTTGAGCACATTAGCCATGGGTGGCACACAAATGTCGCCGAGCGAAAAGGCCGAGGGCTGCAGAAACAAAAGAGGAAACATTAGAGGCTTTATATTTTGAAGACATCGAAGAGGCTAGTGTCTATATTTTTAATATGAAAAACACTTTGCTTAAGAGTACATGATAGATCAGGCTGGGGCTAGGCTGGGCTAAGATTGTGCTGCCTCTTTTCTGTGCTGATAGTTTGTCTTCAAAAATTAAGCCCTATTTTGCTGGGGGGGCTGTAAAGAAGAGATGATCTATGCCCTTTTCTTCTAGTTAGCTTAGCCTTTGCTTGGGTGAAAGTTTAAGGCGGAACTTCAACCCACTTGGTTTCCCAATTAGTTGAATGATTTGCTGAGGGCTGGAGAGAAGAGATGATCTATGCCCTTTTCCTCTACTCAGCTTAGCCTTTGCTTGGGTGAAAGTTTAAGGCGGAACTTCAACCCACTTGGTTTCCCAATTAGTTGAATGATTTGCTGAGGTCTGGAGAGAAGATATGATCTATGCCCTTTTCTTCTACTTAGCTTAGCCCTTGCTTAGCTAATGTTTCTAGCGGAACTACAACCTACTTGGTTTTCCAATTATTTGAATGATTTTCTGGGGGCTGTAAAGAAGAGATGATCTATGCCCTTTTCTTCTACTTAGCTTAGCCCTTGCTTAGCTAAAGTTGGTGGCGCATCCTCAACCTAGTTGGGTTTTCAATTATTTGAATGTTTTGCTGGGGGCTGGAGAGAAGATATGATCTATGCCCTTTTCTTCTACTTAGCTTAGCCCTTGCTTAGCTAAAGTTGGTGGCGGATCCTCAACCTAGTTGGTTTTTCAATTATTTGAATGATTTTCTGGGGGCTGTAAAGAAGAGATGATCTATGCCCTTTTCTTCTACTTAGCTTAGCTATTGCTTAGCTAAAGTTGGTGGCGGATCCTCAACCTAGTTAGTTTTATTTATTTGCTAGGGGCTGGAGAAAAGAGATGATCTATGCCCTTTTATTCTACTTTGCTTGGGGCTTAAATTTCTGGCGGAACCTCAACCTACTTGGTTTCCCAATTAGATTCATTTATATCGTAGTCCTTTAAATAATATATAAGTATTATTGGCTATTCAAGGGAGTTTACAGGATTTTTTTCGCAGTAACTAACTTGTGAACGATCTTGCTTTAACTTGTTACTGACATCCCGATAAAGTTGTTACGAGTATAAAATGTTAGCTGTCAGGTTTCCGATGACTAATTGCTATGATAAATCTTTGAGTTCACTAAAACCTCGACAGCTTATTAGAAATATTAAAACGTAGTCGATTTCAAAATGCTTTCTTTTACTACAAAAGCCTGACTCTTTTGTCTTTGAAATGCAAAAGAAAAGTATATATATATTTATATGTGTGTGTAGAGAATAAAATTTGATGCGAAAGAATTTAATTCAATTGGCTGTGCCAACCCTTCGATGGCCTTGGCAGCGGCAGCTTTTCGAGGGCGTTTGCGACTCACCGGAAACAGCGGCGCACCATTGACGCACACGCTTTCCGCAAAGCGTACACGACTGGGTCGGGTTCGCAGCTTGGCCCGCTTGCCCGCCGACAAGAGCGTCGACTTGCGTCCGGGCACCACACAATGGGCCATGGGTTGGCAGACGAGAAGCGACACCTGCGCCTCACAGGCACGCACCAGTTGAATGACGTGGTCGCGTGGCGCATCCTTTACGTCCTCCGCGTTCACGGCCAGTATTTGATCGCCCGGCTGTAGTTTGTTGATGCTCGGTCCACCTTCCGTCACGAACCGCACAATAACCGGACGCTCGCTGCCGGCCACAAACCCAAACCCCAGACTGGCGTTGCGCTGTAACACGACTAGGCGTGGCTCCGGCGGATGCTCGTCCCAGCGTATGCATTCGGGTGCCTCGTAAGTGGTCGTCTTATTCAGATGACTATTAATCGTAACGTAATATAAATGTTTAGAGTTTGTTTGCTGTAATCCAATATTTAATGTTTGCTCACTTGATGTAATAAGAACGACCCTTGGAGTCTATGGCACGTTCCCAACCGTATGGCAGCTCCTCGTGTTTGCTCCAATCCTCACAGGCGGGTAACCAGCCAGACGATTGCGTCAAGTGGCTGTAAATGGTAATGGAATATTAGTTTGTTATTGTGGGAAGAAAGGCAAATACAGCTGCTAAGGATATAGTTTAAAACTGTCGAAGTATTACAAGGAGAACATAATCAGTAGTTCAATTCAGATTAGGTTAGGACTGAATTGGACATTCCAGGTATAGATAGTCTAGAAATTAAAGACGACTATAATCATCTAAGAGTTATAAAAACCATCTAAAAATATTAGATCACAATTTTGTTGCGGACCACTACATTCAGTTTAGTTTCAGGGTCATTCATACTTAGCTGGAAATAAGAAGATCCCAAGGAAGACATCCAGTATTTCAAACGAATAGATATCCCTGCTAGGCCTAGCTCTTACAGTCTTTAACATTGAAGACGGACCATAAACATTCTAGTAATTTCAATTACATATTTTTGTTAAGCAACAGTATTTCCAGTTCAGTTTTTGTTTAGTAACGCGACTAACCATACAACATATTTCAAATCGAACAGATATCCCTGCTAGGCCTAGCTCTTACAGTCTTTAACATTGAAGACGGACCATAAACATTCTAGTAATTTCAATTACATATTTTTGTTAAGCAACATTATTTCCAGTTCAGTTTTTGTTTAGTAACGCGACTAACCATACAACATATTTCAAATCAAGCCAAATGACACATAACTAGATATAGATTTCTATTCTTGCAATTACTACTAGAGATCTAGAAAGAATGAAAAGGTAATGAAGAAGGTTCATATTTCAATTAAATCTTTACAACAAATTTCCTTAAAAACATTCTCCCCAACTTTAATTGTTTCATGGGAATATTTACATTTAGAGATGGACTTAGAAAAATCGTAATAGATGTGCTATTTAATGAAAATAGGACTTTATAGGAAAAGTTCTGTCTTCTCCAGCTCCATTCTGCTTCGTCTGAATTCCCTCCACATCCAAAAACATACTTAGACAAGGCTCACAAATTACGGAAGTAAAATCGCAGGAAAATTTTTGACTCTATAGGAAAAGTTTTGCGTTCTCCAGCTTCATTCTCTTTCTTCTGAATTCCCTCCACATCCGAAAACATACTTAGACAAGGTTCATAAATTGTGGAAGTAAAATCGCAGGGTTTTTTTCAATTATTTGACATACAGGTTCTGCTTCGCCTATATCTACCTTTAAGATATTCTATCGCCCTTTTCCCACATTATTAGAAAGTCCCTCTTTCTTTTATTCAGCGATTTTCCGCGTTACTTCTAGTCTTAGTGGTTTTCATATGTTATATGGATTGGTTTCTATTATCTGCAGATAATACCACACTTATATTCAGTTTTCAGCTTAGAATAGACTGATAAAGTTCCCAGACAACACTTATGGAATAACTGGCTTCCCCTAATTGTTGAATCTTTGGTTTCTCCGTAGCATACATTACTAATTCCTTCACTTGGTTCGGTGAAATCAAAACATTCAACAGTTGCTATTTATTTATCTGCTCTTGTTTATTTATCTCTGGGGTAATTAAATCAATCCCTATGTGATTTATGGCGAGCTATCTACCTCGTTGGTTCCACCGGACCGCACAATAACAAATAAATAAATTCCTTCAATATTCAGTGGGAGAAATGAAATCAGAACGAATGCGAGTTACTATTTTTAAAGCATCTACATTTGTTTATCCAAGCCATGATAATTTTCCATGCTATTGTTGACATGACCCTGAACTTGCTATTTTTCTCATCTGGGTGGCTGACGGAACGGCCTGGGTGGCTGGCTCGCTTGTTAATCACAGATCTGCTCTAGCCTTGCGAAATGCATTTCAATTGACATTAATCAACGCTAATTGGGTTATTTGCTCGACTATGTAACCATAAAAGGGGGGGCTATCCAGTCACCTAGTAATTCAGTCACCCAACCTAGCCCACATCGGGTTGCCTTGGTGGTTTCCGTTGCTGTCTTTCTTCATTTCCTGACTGCCAGTGCCGCCTGCACACAATTGTGATAATTAGTTTTGCACTTTGCACACAGAGTGCCACACGATTCGACCATCCATCCCATCCACTCACTCACTCACTCACTCATTCATTCGTTCATTCATTCAGGCAGTCAGTCAGTCAGTCAGTGGGGCAGGGAGGCAGTGAGGCAGGGGGGACACTCTCTTACGGCATTTTGTGCGCTTTCAGTTTGATGTGCAACAAAGTGTAAAATTATTTAATAGAATTTTGTGCATAATCAATTTATGTGCAGCAGGCAGCCAGCCAGCCAGCCAGCCTAACCATCCAACCAACCAGCGAGGCACTCAGCCAGCATCATACATGGCTCCTACAAATGCCAACACATGCCCGTTTGTCCCCTCCCCATGCCCCCCCACCTTCGTTGACAGTTGGGCTCGTTAAAAGGATTCCATCGAGAAGTTCAACACAAATGCCCTTTCAACTTTATCGTCGAATGTTTAAAATAAACATTTTTTTGGAAAAGTGTTACCCACTTCGGGGTTAAAATGCTTCGATTGTGTAGAGCGTTTTATTATTCTAAACGACAAAGGGTCAGTCGTTCCTAGAATTGAAACAATTTTGCGTTTGATTGCATAAGGACCTTTCAAAGGAAAGTCTTTTGTCACATAACGCTAACCCAGTTCTCCCATTGATGCAAATAATTAGAAACAAATACGTGGAAACGTATGGCTGGCAGCCTTCAAAATCGGTTCTTGTGGGAGCATCCTCGTATAAACGAGGCCTCACTTCATCAGATATTTAGCCAAAAGGCATATGGATACCTTGATTTAGTTGTTATTCTATAAGAATCTCTATTAAATCCTATAAACATTCATTTTAGGCACATCATTCAGCAATCTAAGCTACTCCCCGAAATTAATTTTCGTTCCTTCCTCTGTTGGACTTCTATCAGATAATGGCTTTTTACCCGCAAGGGTAAAGGTTTTCTGCTGGTTCCCCAAATATCTTGACTATCTACTCGATTGAGTAAGCGGATATTTCTTCGACTTTTCAGTTTTTGGATAAATACCTAGACTATGTTGGTTATAAATAAAACAGACCTATAAGAACTACATAAGTATTTTTTATAAATTCCTTTCGATTATTGACTAGAGACTAGATTTGTCCACAGCATTTTGCTGGATTTTTTTTATAACCCTTACGAATTATTTTCATAGTCTTATAAGGCTATTACTAATGATCAAATGAGCAAATACTTTTCCCACAAATTTGTCCCCTTTTGTTAAGTTTTAAGATTTATGTTACTTTCAAATAAAAAAGCAATAAAAATCTTTGTGAAATTGACTCCTCACGGCCTGCTAGGTATGACTACCTATTTAAATTGTTTCAATTTATTAACTTATTGTACAAATAGATACCTCAAGTCTATTTGCAAATGTTGGTTTACCTAGCTCTTACAGTTCAAATAAAAAAGATGTTCATACAGTCGAACAGCGGGAGGGAACTCAGTCTATAGTAGTCGCTTATCGTCGTTTATCGTTTATTCGTCTCACAAATGTATTTATTTCGACCATCTACTCACTTGCAATAGTAGAGCCTGCCCTCCTTGCCCACATGCGCCGTCCAGCCAGCTTTTAGCTTCTCCTGTATGGCCTCCAAGTGTCGATCAATTTCGGCCCAATTTCCGGCACCACTCAGCACCGAAACAGCGGCCGCATGGGCCACGCGGTGGCCCAATAGTGGCGGATAGTAACCGCCAATGCCAAGACTGTGGGGCTGTGGCTCGATTGTTGCTGCTGTTGTCGTCGTAATGCGGTCAGCGGCAACGCCCGCCTGTGTTCCGGCCTCTGACAGACTTCCGGCCGTTGTTGTTGCTGTTGTTGTGGCTGCCACTGTTGCCAGTGTTGTGTCTGTTTCTTGTGCTTGTGTCACAGCGTTTTGAGTAGCGTAGGCGTTCGCGTTGGCATTGGGCCCGCCATTGGGCGCCGTTATTGCGCCTAGGCCGCCCAATGTTGCTGCTGCTGTTGTTGTTGTTGTTGTCAATTGTGGCGATGATGTTCTTGTCAGTAGCAATGGCTTGTTGGCACCCACACTCGCAGCTGCTGTTGTTGTAACATTTTGTAGCGGATAGACATCACTATTCGAACGCCCCGAAGGCAGTAACATCATTGAAACACATGCGCTGCAAAGACAGTGACAGATAGAGATAGTTAGAGAGATACATACAACTTTTTATTATACGTTGTGGGGTTAGTGAGACGTTTAAAAAGTGCAAAGTTACCATCTGAGAGCAAAATATTCTAGCAAAATAAACTGTGAAAGAAAAACGTAAAGCGATATTTTATTAACAACCCTAATTTGTGCTTTGTGTATATCTCTATAACTAGACTCGTTCGCACATTGTTCGGGCGTTGCCTTCACTTGGCATGCCACAAATCACATTCCACAACCAAAACCGACCACGACGCTGACGCTGACCCACTTTTGCAAAAACAGGCTCGTCTGGATGCGCTCGGAGTCGGAGTCGGCTCTCTTCTGCCCATAAGTCAACATCACTTCCAGCATGCTGGCATTGCCTTTTCAGCCAAGCAGTCTGGGGGAACGACAACGACATCGACATCGACGACGTTATTATAGTCGTGTTCGTGCTGCTAAAACAGGTCTGGGCTAATTCCAAGGCATTGATCATGAGCTCTTAGCTGCAGTTTTCAGCATCAAGAGATTCAGAGGCCTTTTACCAAAAAAACTAATCTGCTGATTAACTTTAATTTGATAGCCGTGATGCGATAATAAGAGAGTTCGCTTTAACAGATTGCTTTATGACGTCATTAAGGCACTTAGCATTGGGCTCAAAATTATAGATAATTCATGGTCAAACGCGCAAATAATTTGCACACCAACTCATCAAATTTTACAAGCATGCCATGAAGAAGCTTTCAGTTGTAAGCAGCTACTATTGTTGGTGCTTGAAATACTGTGTGCATACATGACATACTTCAAGAATTGGTGAAGTTTTTGTGCAAATTATTTGCCTGTGTGACCATGCTCCTAAATTTTCTAACTTCCAATCGCTTTCAGTTCTGGACAATCAATAATAAAGATAACAGAATCGAACTTTAAAATTTTCAAATCACTTCTCCTTTCACTAGGTCAATATAAACATTGATCCCCTGATGGGAGGCTATACTTGTAGAATAGAAATCAAAAAAATAATGAGTGAAAAAAAATTACCTCAGAATGTGGATGAAAAGGCTTAAATAGAAGATAATTATAAAGATTCTCATTTGAATGTAACTTTAAAATATAGCCGATTGCTATCACTAAGAAGATAAGATGAGTTACAACATGAGAGGTTTGCCTGAAATTGTACCATGAATGAAGACATATTCGATAAAATATTTATTTCAATATATATTTCATTTATTAATATTTTTTATTCATTAAAATAAACGATCATTATTTTATTAATGGAACATTGTGTCGTGGATAGTAAAGCTTTCATATATAAATAATTTACCATCTCTAGTCAATGGCAGACAGACAATGCCTTTAATTTCATAAATTTTTAAACCAAATTGCTGGCATATTTTTATAGCAGAAAGTAAAGTTTGTAAACATGTTGTTGTTGCTATCTGTGCCAGCCAGATGAGATAGAGGTAGATATGATTATGTTTAACTATATATGCCAACGCCCGATAGTGCAGAATGTTCGCTCGTCCGTTCGCTGGCACAACAACAAACAAAGAGGCAAAGGGACAGACGGACAGACGGACGAACAAAGCGACTGGCAGGCAACCGACAAAATGAATGTGTGTCTGTGTGTGTGTGTGTGTGTGTGTGTGTTTGTTTGCTTGCGCAATTTCATTCTAAGTGGAATGATGGCGCAGAGATGCAGCATCCAATAAACGAGATACGACGGAACGTGCCAAACAAAGCAGAGCAGAGCAGAGCAAAGCAGAGTCGTCCATTAGACGTGAAGCAGGAGATGGTTGCGGAAGGACGAGGAGGAATGGTGCTGTTGATGGCGCTGTTGAAGGCGCTGATGATGATGAAACGAGCAGCCCGGCACTGACGTCGTCGTCGTCGTCGTCAGGAGCCGGTAAGTAACGGCTTGGCAAACAACCTCATGTACGGATATAATAGAAGCGAGGCAGCTGAATGGTGCTAGAGTTGGGGAAGGGGGGGGAGGGGCAACAACTGCAATGGCAACGACATGGTCAAGTTCCTTTTTCTTTGCGGTGTACAAGTTCCATAAACAACTTTACACACATGCGCTCACACAGACACACATACATGCTATGCTTAAAACTGGAACACTCGAACAATGTTTTGAGTTACATTTTCTTCTTCTTTTTTCGCTGTAGTTTTCGTTGTGCTTTTAAATGTGCCTTTTGTTTGGGAATTCTAGCTGGCTAGCTCGAAACAACAATATCTTGGAATTCCACCGAACGCTATCATGTCAGGGAAGCTTAAAAAAGTATTTGTAAAAATTTTAATAATTTAACAAAGAACCCATTTCTAAAATTTCCAGAATCTCTAAAAATGTTCACTTAATATATTAAAAACAAATCCAAATGGTGAATAGAAATACTAGAAAATCTAAAGGCCAAATGAATCAAGCAACCGTGGCCGGAATCATGTCCCTCGGTTCGACTGTATGAACCCCGAGTACTTTTGAACCATAACAGCTAGGGCCATCAAACTTGTTATGTAGACTTGTCTAATCGATCTATTGACCAAGTTTATTAGAAACCACATATAGCCTCAGTGTTTAATATAGCTGCCATAGCTACCGATCGGCCAAAAAATCATTTTTGTAGTATTCATAAGTTACATCTAAAGTCGTGACAGTTGCATCGTACAGTTATCCTAGGAATAATTGGTGCAATAATGTTTCTATTTTAGGCCTTTTGTGGAGCAACTATATTACTATTACTCAGATATGACTATATGACTATAACTATTACTCAGATATGGAATGAAACTAGTTATTTAAAAAATTTAAACATTAGAATTTAGGAATCATATAAACAATCAATACCCCCATTAATATTATCAGACTATCAGAGTGTGTAATACGATTGTCGATTTTTGCCATACCTTCTCATTCTTGTGGATTACATTTTAATGAAAAAAATAAAACTCGCATTAAACACGTTTACTGGTATTGCCATGACAAACAAACTGTCGCAAGCGATGCCAACATTTTCATACTGGCCTAAGCCGTTTACGCGCTCCGTTAGCAACAGCTTCAGCCCCAGCTTCAGCATCATCATCAACAGCTGCAGCTACAGAGCGGACAAGTGTAACTGATATGAACGCGACAAATAGTAAAGCAACAAGAGAGAATGCAGCAGTGCTGCCAAGCCAGTCCGACAGTCAAATACTCTGCACTATGTCTATCAAATATTTATAAATGATGATGTTATGTGTCACCAGAAACACATGTTAAGGTATAGTTTTGTTAATTCTTTTGATTTGTTGCAGCTATTCTTTTTCCATGCTTCATTATTTCATTTTTCATTTCATTTTTTGAAGTTCATTAAATTAAAATTGAATTTGCTTCATGAGGCTATCAAATTGTAAACAATATTCTTGAAATTTTGTAACGAAAAATGGGAGAACTTTTTGTAGCCTAGACATTTTTGGAGCCTATGTTTGATTAATGTGTCTTTAAATTCAGGCGTTCATACAGGCGGACATGATCAGATTCATTTGTCTTATCATACTGATCATGAAAATTATAGATAAACCACATTGCGGGATAATTTGTAGGTCCTACAGACAAGCTCTTCAATAACTAAAAAAATTTCAATTAAAATATCTCAAAAAATAACAAAATTAAATTAATTTAATAAAAAAAAAATATATATAAATACCATTTCGACGCTTTAAAAATTTCCAAAAAGAGCAATGCAATTGGAGAATCGTATTAACAATAATGCGGTGAGCCTTTTCTTTAATTTTGTTGAATTTGTTAGAAGGTTTTTAATTCTTTCTCAGAACTATAAAATACTTGGTATTATCAATATATTTTTTCTATAAAAAGGAATGTTTGAAAAAGTCAAATTGTCGCTTTGGGAATTTGCCAAAAATTAAAGTATCATGTCCTGTAAAAAATGTACCAAGTGTAACAAAGCTGACTTGTTTACCTTTCGTTGCTGAATAAAACGTAAGTTTGTGGAACATATTAAAAAATGAAACGCCAATTTACTGTCATCCAAATGGGGCGAGGTGCCTCCAATAATACAATTCAACTCGAATTTGGTCGCAGATGTTTCTGATTCTGCTTCTGTCTGTTACATACATTTGCACAAATCTAATATACCCTTTTTAGCCTACGGGTGCGGGTATAAAAGCAACAAAAACTGTCAGCACTCAGCACTCGCCACTCATACAACCCGTACAACCCGTACAACCAACATCCAACACTTTTTTTGGGCAGCTAGAGTGCGCGTAAAACGAATGCAGCGAATGATTTGTGTCAAGCAACAGAAAGAGCTCTCTTTTGTGCCTGTCTGTGTGTGTCTGTGTGTGTGTGTGTGTGTGTGTGTGTGTGAGTATAAATCGCCAATGTGTAGCAGTGCTGGTATTTTGGTTTTTTCCTGCTAGTTTTGAAGATGGGGGAAAAATTTTACAGTTCTGTCAAATAACATTTTCAGAATTTTCGCAAGTTCAGGCGGGTTTTTGCGATCCAAGACTAATCCAGAACTGTACTATACTCTACTCTTCCTATTAAATGCATATTAATGTAGTAATAGTTTATTGCCGGGAGGTCTATGAATTCAAAGGTCATTTATATTCTACTCTCCAGCTGTAATTTGGAGTGGCAGGAAGCCTCTGACGAGATAACTGCTCACCATTATAGGGGAGAGTTCCTTTTATCCCACTAGGGTGCACAAAATATCACCGTATACTATGTATATAGTCGCAGTACCTTTTCCGTTCCAAATATATGTAACTTCCTTTTTACAATCACATTGAAAAAGCTCTTTTAAATTAAAGACCAAATGCTAGAAAAAGCAGGGACCGCAAATAAATATGATTTTTTTTTTTAAGTGAAAAAATTATTTCCTTTGAGAAAACGAGGAACTTACCAATATACTTTTTAAAAGATTATCTACGCTTTTTTTTTTACTGAAAATATCATTAATCTCTAGTAACTTTGAGAAAACGAGGAAT